AATTTTTTTTTTTTTTGTGGCACTCTTACATAAAAAGTTGTGGGCCGCTATTTTATATAAATAGCATATGATACGAAATGAATTATAAATAAATCAAAACTTAAATTATAATATGAAAAATCTACTCAAAGTTAAGAGATTTGTGAAAATACAGTCTTGATTTCGTGGTTTAGAGGAGAATCACAAAAACAATGTAATTTTAGATTACGAAAATCTGCTCACAATTTTCTGAAACTAAATTTACCCTAGAATCGGATTCTTCTACCCAAGGTTCTGTTTTTGTGAAGGGAAAAAAACAAAAAAAAAAAAACAGAAAAAGCATGTATTTTAAGAAGGTGTAATATTAAAATTATGAAGATGTCATTGTCTCCGTTTTTCAAAAGAATTTTGAGAAGAGCATCAATTTTTGATATTAAAAAAAATTGTGAAGGATCCATTTTTAAAATAAAACATTCCGTTTTTACGGACCTAAATAATTTGTGCATAATACATTTTTGCGATAAAATAATTTGCAAAGAGTGCGTTTTCAATATTAAAAATTTGGTAAACAAAACAAATTTCTCCTAAAATGACACCTGCATATTAAAAAATTTTAAACTAAAAAAACTGTCAGTTTTTAATAAATGGATGTAAAAGGCAATTAGCTTCTAAATATTGTTTAAGTAAATTTCTATTGAATAAGTATGAAACGAATATTAATTATTAGCTTATGATAATACAACAAGGAATGTTTGAAATTCCAACCTTTACTCGTAATCCTTGATAAACTGTATTAACCGCATTATCACATACTTATCAAAAAAAAAAAATTTTATCAATCATTTCCAAATCAAAATATTACTAGATTGATTCATGAACTTTTCCTGCCACAAAAAGTCTGAAAAATGTTTCTCCACCTCTGATTCCTTATCCTATATGCAGTGGTACACTACAAGCAGGCCTACCAACTACAACGCTTTTTGCAAAATATTTTACAGAGCGGTAGTCATTTAAAAACAAAATTTTTAAGAAATTTTGGTAACTTAGTCAACCTTTTTAAAAGTCTCATCACGAAGGAGCTAAAGCAAAGTAGCTTTACATATGAACTTTTAAATCAATTATATGTAGTGGTGTGGGAACTAAGTTGAAATGGCTAAAAAATAATACATTAAAACATAAACTTAGCTACCACTGGAATAAATTTTTACAAAAAGCGTAAAAAATTGGCAGCCCTATACAAGTAGCGAAACTACTGTAGTCGCTACATTTTTTCGTGATTTGCAATGTAGTGTGCTACTTTTTCTTTTTTAAAAAAAAAGTAGTATAGTTGAGTAATGCTATACAAAAAAAAAGTTTGTAGCGATTCTAGACAACTACTTTTAACGTTAGTTCAGAAAAGAAAGACGGTTCGAATTTGATGGGTACAAATCTTCACTGGTCCATCAATGGATGCAATGAAAATGACCCGGTGGCTGCAGCTGAACGTTATCAAAAATTACGTATTTAAAATCACTTACATTTAAACTAGCCATTAATAATTTATCTTATTAACTAGATTTAACTTTAATTATTTAACTTATCTTATTTATAATATTATTATTAACTAGCCATTAATAATTAAAATAGATAATATATTACTTTAGTCACATGCGACTCGTGAAACATGGATGTTAATTAAAAGGAAGGAAACGTATTTTCGATGTATTTAATTTCTTAGAGGAAATAACAAAACAATTAAAAAAGTGAAAGATTTCACATTTCTTAAATTAAATAATAGCTGTCGGAAAAGAAATAAGAAGGTTCATGTAACATGTAAACATGAATAAATACTTCTCAATTATTCCCTCATATTTGATGTAAGCCTTATGGTCTTATTCAAAACCATTTTGAACATAGGTGTGAATTCAGTTCGTCCAAAAAAGTTCGTCTACTTAAAGTAGTGAAGTATTTACTATATTCCAAAGTAGTTAGTAGTCACTGCATTTAAAAAAAAGTAATTAACTCCATTTGTAACAAAGTATTTGTAGTAAACTACAAAAATTAATGTAGACCACTGCCTATAAGTTTGTGAACGCCCCTTAGTGGGCTTTGAAAACTTTTATGAAAGAAAATGTTTAGTTAGTTGTGGAGCTATGTAGTGGGTCGTAACAACTTAGAGTGAAAATAAGTATTGATTAAAAATAAGCATTATTATTTATTTGCTTTCTAACTCACATTTCTGATTTAGGATATAATATTTGTTATCGGGAACAATTTCGATGCTCCGTTCCTAAACAATCAGCTAAGTTGCAGGCAATTTTATAATATATATTTATGAGCGTTTCAGATTATAATTTCAAATTTTTATTATAAAAGAAGCAAAAAAAAAAAAATCATCAGCTCATACAGAAAATATAAATTAAAATTCGCACTTGAATTATCAGTTCATTCTTAAGAGAAGAATCTCAAAAATCCTTCTTCATATTTAATCACATTATCATAAATATATTTTAATGCCAAGAATAGTTTTTCTACTGCAATTTGGCTAACGGGCAATGCCGTTACAATGCGGTAAGCCTTTTGAATGTCTGTAGGAAACAATAAAATTTAAGCCCTGAAAGCATGAGAAGCTCCAACTATGGTCCCAGCTCCAGGGAAAACAAAGCTTCCAACTCTTACTCCTTATTTGTAATTGAAGCACTTACTAAAATTGTTAATCTAAAATTATTTAGAAATGTTAAATTGTAAATAGAAAAAAAAACGCTTTTAAATGAAGACAAGAAAATTCACTCATTTTACGATTCAAACGTCAAATCGCGCAAAGATATTGGCATGAGTTAGAAAATTCAGTACTGTTGCGGCCCGTGAAGTTTGCCTGAAAGGTTTATATAATCTTTAATTTCAATTTACTTAAATTTTTATAAAAGTCTTGAATTTATTATTCGAGAACTTTAAAATATTTAAATTTTTGTTCATTTTAACATGTTTTATAAAGAAGTATGTATTGAATATATTTTTAAGTTTTAATTCATTCGTGAAATTAATACGTTTTCTGCTTTGTTTAATAATTCAAAGTATTTTATCGAAATATTTCAAAATATCAGCGTTTTCTGTACTAAGAAACACAGGCGACGGATTGCAAGTCAACCTGATTACATTTCTAAACGACACCATTTATTTCCCATTTTTGAAAATATTAAAAAAATAATGTTTGATTAGTTAGCTAATTTAAACTACAAAATGACTAGTTGAATTTATTTTTAAACGAACATGGAAAAATTTTACATATTAATTATGTTAATCAAAATTGGAATTGAAAAAATTTCGAAAATAAATACATTGAGTCAATGTATTTATTTTCGAAGGCTTCTTTATAAAAGTGTATTTATTATAGCAAGTATTATAGTAGGCTTTAAAAAGGGAAAAACGCCTTTATTGTGCTATATTGATAAGGGGTCACTGAAATTTTTTTGACTCGCTATATCAACAAAGGTTAGGGAAAAAGTAGGTTGGTGGACTAAAAAGGTTGGGAATTCCAACCATATGCACCATTTAGCCCACTGATCATCTTATGTGCGCAGGTAGGTTATGTGACTTCAGTTCATTAAAATTCTTTTCTTAATTACTAATCTAGTTATTTAATATCACAAGAATATTAACGACCAATTATCTACTAAAATCTATAAACAAACCGTCACTTCTAGAAAAAAATGTTCCATGAAACCAATTGCTGAAATGATTATTAATAAATTTTAAAAAAAACTTAACCCAAAAAGTTTCATTAAAAAAAAAAAAAAAAAAAAAAAACGAACAATTTATTGGTTGTTTGAACGTATAGCAAAATGTCAGAAAACCATCCAAAATTATGCGAGATCCGAAAAAAAAATGCCGTCTTGTAATTATGTTTATTAATTAATGTACAAAACAATCAAACAAATATAACACTTTTTCTGGAGGAAACTAGTTTCTTGGCCGACATTATCAATCAAACACTTTGGTTCCATTGATAAAGATGCCTGCCAATTTTTCTCGATAAAGAAAAAAAAATCACATTTCTTTCGCAAACTATTTCAAGAAAGAGAATTTTTTTTCTTTTCTTTTTTTTGAAAGACAGAATTTTTAGATACAGAAATACTTCGCAATTAGCAGCATAGTGAAAGGGAGGGACAATGGGCAATATTTTCCCTTCTACATTAAGCCAAAGGTTGCCTCCGATTGACGACTAAGTGAAATACATTTAAAAAATAATAAAATTTCATCATTTCACAAAAATGTATTTCTTGTTTTCTGCTAACAGTTAAATACGTAAACAAAAATGAGTCAAAATGTGTGTCAGAATTAAAAATATTAATTGATCATTTTATTAAATATTAAGAAATTGTAAAATAAATGTTATGAAGTAAATTATAAAGTAATTATTCAGCAATGAATAAAATCAGTAGTTTCTTTAGACATATTTTTCTTTGCCTTTCCATTTCTAAGGATTATGGAGAAGTAGTAACCTACTTATAACTGGGAGAAAAATTATAATAAAAAATGTTTTATAAAGTAAGCAATTCATTCATAACTCCAATGATTCATTCACTAAAGTTTTAAATGTATTATTATTGTTTTCATATGAATAAATATTACATACGATGTAAAAAATTTTAACAAATAAATATTTGATTAAAGAAAACTAATTCAAGGCGAATATAGTACGATATCCAAACGAATTTTATCAAGAAGTTGTAAGGTATTAAAATACTGAAGAGGATAATTTACAAATAATTTTTTACCAAAGAATTAGTTCCGCTAGAATTTACATGAAATTTTAATTGAAAATATGGATTATATGAGCATAAATTTTTTCCATGTTTCTTTTTTATTCATTAATTTGCACTTTCCAGTGACCCGCTTTACGAGATCATTTTAACCCACCTTTGCAAATAAAAAAACCTTTTTTTCTCCACATGATTGCAAAGCATTTCATTTCTAAAAAATTGGGATATTTCTTTTCAAAATATGGAACAATCTTAAATTTGATATGAAGTAATACTCACTTATAGGGGAATGTAACCAAGGCAAACCGGACCCATATAGTAAAGCAGTTACCGAAAGTTTCGGTCGTTCTTTTTTCTGATTCATCATTTTTAAAAGAACATAATTTTATTTGACCACTCCTTTATCACTTAACTATCACAGTCATCTTTAATGAGATATTTTTAAAATAATGCAATTTTATATATAAAATAAAATTGTGTCTTTTGAAAGGGCAACCTCTTTCAAGTTCTATCGAATATACTTGTCTCATAAAAACGAATCAAAACAAACCATTTCTAAGCAGTTCCCGTAGTAGTTTTGTTGGAAAATCGTGAGGGTTACTGCTAAAAGAAAATGCGCCAAAGAAGCCAACATGCGCCCAGATTTCAAGGCCGTGAAGAGGAAATGTCGACTGTAAGAACAGGTTGCGCAATTTTCGCATTTATTTTAGATAGAATGTGAATGACCCAAAATTGGAATAATTGATACAATTAAGGGCTCATTCGATAAAAGTAAATATTTTATTTTACTTTCAACTTTTTAATATTTCACGATCAATGCATTTTAACTACGGTTAATAGATTTTACTGAATTTTTATAATATTAGAGAAAAGTTGGTAATTTTTATATTATGTCATAATAGTAATAAGTATAAGTAAGTTTTTTATATGCTAAAATTAAAGTGTGCTAAACTTTTATTTTATAAAATTACTAGTTATTATATAATGATAGATAATTAAAGTGCTTACGTGCTTAATAAATGTAACTATTTATTGTATTAAAAAACTAGCTATTTTTAAAAATGAATTTTATTATACGCTTAGAAATTATTTTAATTTGCCAATATATTATCTAAATAAAAAATTGGAATGAACTTAGAAGAATAACTGAATAAGTAAAATGTGATAGTGTCAATTTTATAGTTTACAATTTTATAAAGGTGTAGGTCGGTAGCTGCCCCTAAGTGGGTGATTTCTTCCCTCAATGGGGCGATGAATGTTCCAGAGAAAATAGAAAAGAACAACAATAAAGAGCTAGCGATAATTATGTATAATATACGAACACTATTCGAAGAAAATGTGTCCCAATCGCGGTAATTTTTTTAGTTTTACGAAAAGAAAAAAAAAATCAAAATTACCTAATGTTCAGGTTTTTCTGACAGAGATTACTATGAGAATTTCTTTCTTTGGTTCGTAAAGCTGCACTTTTCTACATTCGACTTTCAGGCATGCTAGTGAGTCTCTTCTGCTTTTTTCAATTTAATTTTAAAAGCCTTTTCGAAGAAAGTTCATTGTTTTAAATTTCCGCCAAAGGAAAATTATTTATTCTTTATCCTACATATGCAAACGCGATTTAAAATTGCATTCACATTTAAAATTACATTCACAATATTACAATCACAAATCGTGTTTCGTATTTATACGATATTATATCATATATCGCGTAAAAAAGACAATATTATGATTCGTTTTCAAGTGACTTAATTATACAACGGAATTCGTATTCACGCGATTTCAAAGTTAAATATTGAAATTTGTATTCACACGATTTTAAAATCAAGCATCGAGACTCGTATTCATGCGATTTTAAAATTAAATATCGAGATTCGTATTTGCGTCATTTAAAGATCACACATTGATTCACAAATTTTAGATAAATAAATAAAATCTCACATTGATATTTTTAGGAAAAATGCTGGTAACATTCTGTGGATAAATGCTTCTTATACAGATTTTTTTTCTTGCTTAATTTTCAGGCATTTTTCTAATGTATAAAGTGTTCTTTCATATAACATTTTTGGATTTCTATTGTTAGCTTCTTTTTTTTAATCAAACTTCATAAAAATTAAATCATTTTTTAAAAAATTAATTCTAGAGATATAGTGGACCAAGCAAAAAGTAAATTTAACATTAAAGGGATTTTAAACATTCGACTGCTTTATTTGAGGTACTAAGGGGGTTATAAACATTCGACTGCTTTATTTGGGGTACATTTTCAAAATTAATTTAAGGATCAAAAATATGTCGAAATGTTATTCAGAAAAAAGTAAATTTTTGGAATCATTTCGAAACTCAAAATATCGTCAGTGCTTAACATTAAAGTTTAGCTATCAGACTGTATGTAGAAATACGATTCAGTCAATAGATTTTGTGTGTGGATATTATATTTTATCCTTTTGGTCGGCAATAAAAATATTTACATATGACATTATAATTTAAATGATTTATTTTTGCATTTAATTGTTTTCGGATAAGCGACTTTTATAATTATTTTTATTTCGTTATTATTTCAGTAGAACACTCAAAAAGTAAATTAAACATTAGGAGGCTCAAATATTCGAATGATCTATTTGAGCTACATTTTCCACTAAATTTTGAGAATTCCGTCTACATAATTATTCAAAGAAAGTAAAACCTAATTTCGAAACTCAAAATATCGTCTGTGCTTAACATTAAAGTTTAGCTATCAGACTGTATGTAGAAATACGATTCAGTCAATAGATTTTGTGTGTGGATATTATATTTTATCCTTTTGGTCGGCAATAAAAATATTTACATATGACATTATAATTTAAATGATTTATTTTTGCATTTAATTGTTTTCGGATAAGCGACTTTTATAATTATTTTTATTTCGTTATTATTTCAGTAGAACACTCAAAAAGTAAATTAAACATTAGGAGGCTCAAATATTCGAATGATCTATTTGAGCTACATTTTCCACTAAATTTTGAGAATTCCGTCTACATAATTATTCAAAGAAAGTAAAACCTAATTTCGAAACTCAAAATATCGTCTGTGCTTAACATTAAAGTTTAGCTATCAGACTGTATGTAGAAATACGATTCAGTCAATAGATTTTGTGTGTGGATATTATATTTTATCCTTTTGGTCGGCAATAAAAATATTTACATATGACATTATAATTTAAATGATTTATTTTTGCATTTAATTGTTTTCGGATAAGCGACTTTTATAATTATTTTTATTTCGTTATTATTTCAGTAGAACACTCAAAAAGTAAATTAAACATTAGGAGGCTCAANTTTTTTTTTTTTTTTTTTTTTTTTTTTTTTTTTTTTTTTTTTTTTTTTTTTTTTTTTTTTTTTTTTGAAACAGCACTATTGAAATATAAAATTCTTTCAGTGGACCTTAGCATCGAAAATCAAAGGTCATTCAAAAATCTTCGAAATAAGGCTGTTTTTTTAGATTTTAACAGTCAAAATTAACTAGTGCCAACAGTAAAATACAGAGGTATGTATTTCGGTGAATACAGAAGAATAAATAGTACTTTAAATTTCAACAAAATCAAAAAAGTCAAGTATCCAATCCTGCTCTTGACTCTTTAAAGACTGGCTCTTAATAATTAGCATAATGAAAGTCTAGTTTAGGTTTTCATATGATAACATGATTAGATTTCCATAAGATAGCATTAGGTTTTCATAAGATAGCTTATGAAAACCTAATTATTACCCCAAAATTAAGTGTCGTTTTTCTCTTTCTTTTGCTTACTACATGGAAAAAAATGGAATCTCTTAATAACTTATAATCTAATGATCGTATTTTCTCATACTAAGACTTATTCTTAATGACTCGTGCGGTTAACAGTGCTCCTCAACCTTTTAATCGCCGAGGATTTGATAATTGTACCACGTTCCGATGAAGGGGGTATTTAATTGTATTTAAAGAGGCCTTCGAAACATGTGGTGATGGATCTTAGCTTTATCTCGATCACTGTTCATAACGTCTCGAGCGTATCATTTAATCCGGTCCACCGCCCGGGGACCACTGATGCCCGCCACTTAATTTCTGAAGATCATATTTTAAGCTATGAAATCAAACACAAAAACGCATTTTATCTCAATATGGGAAGGAGCCGCAATCTAAAATATCTGACCCAACTCTCTATAGTAAAAAATTGTGTATCAAAAGCAAATAAACTTAAAAAAGTAAAATATTAGTTTAATAACAATAAAAGCCGGCGTTGAAATTCACAAATAAATATATTTCAGTAGTTTAAAATTGGCACATCATCTTCAGAGCAAAATACAGAAAAAAATGGAGGAGGAAAAATATCCCAAATCAGCAAGAAGTTAATAAAATTTAAAACTAAAACAGCCCATAAGAAAGTAAGAGTCAAAACACATAAGTACTTCCACCTATCGAAAGATATTTTGATCGATAGAATTAACTAAATTGAACTGATAATTCAATTAGTATAACTGATAATTCAATTGCATGGGAAATTTTAAAGCTCTATCTCAGGGGTGGCGAACCTTTATACACCAACGTGCCATTTTTTCTAAAAAATTGTTGAATGAGGTCATAGACGTGCCGTCAAATAATTTTGAATTCGTAATTATTGGGAAAATAATAATAGCACTAAATACTATCAACTCAAAACTCCTTATTTACATTGGAAAAAAAAACATTTTGCTATGTCTCAGTTATACGCGTAATTCAACTTAAAGTAACATCAGTGTGACTTCTGTTGTTGCAGATGAGATGACAAATAACTTATATTAGGTTGTAAGATGTTAGTTTAAGCAGAACTGTTAATTTTTTTTGCTAGTTATTTATTGTTAACTTGTTTTTTATGGTTATTAATTGTTTTTTTTTAACATTAATTGTACATTCTTTTATTAATAATTGTTTATTATTTTCTGTGTTTTAATTTAATTGTTACATATGCTTCATAGTGTAACAACATTTGTGTAATAACAATTCATAGTGTAATAACAAATGTGATCGGTGGCGTGCCCAAAATATTGTGTCAGGTGCCATAAATGGCACGTGTGCCATTGGTTCGCCATCCCTGCTCTATCTAAAACACAGGTCCGGAGTGCTTCGGGTCCCTGAGCAGATATATAAATATTTTATTACAAGAATACTCTGGTATATATTCATGAATTAGGTACCTGAGCAGATATATAAATATTTTATTACAAGAATACTCTTTGGTATATATTCATGAATTAGTAAACTATTACAAATGATACATAAAATTCATTAGCATATATTTTTAATTAATTTTACAACTGAGCTAAATAAATTTGGTTTCATTTCAGAATTTATAAATCAAAAGATAGCTTCGTTAATAATAATTATAACTTACTTAATCTAATATATAATTATAAGTTAGTTATATAACTATAACTTATAATGTATCTATTATAACTCACTTAGGTAAATACTTATCTTGAACAAAATATTTAAAGTATAAAATTTTATAAGGAAGTTTTAGATCATTAAAATGTATTTATTTATTTTTTTACATTTAATAAAACTCAAGAATATTTTATTAGAGTTTTTGCAAAACAATAATTTCAGAATGAATTTAGAAAACAATGATTTATTTTTTATGACTATGTATAACGCTTTTTGTTCTTAAATTTT